TTCTAGTGTGAGGCACAGGACACAACTAATATTTAGCATGCTTGGAAGTGTCATACAGGTCTTTCTTTTCGTCACTGGTGAGCACTCGATCGAATATGGACACGTTGCGTTTCCAGGAAAGCCACGAGGAACAGGCTGTCAATCGTTGTTGTGTGTCGGCCACGAACGGTGTGTGGGTAACTAGTTGCTAAACATGTACGCCTTTTTATGCGGTACAGGTGAAATTTGAATGTTTCACCAGAAACCTGGAAACGTCCGGCAAGCTCACCACGGTTTTACCTGTTTTCCTTTTCGATGGGCGCTTTCACATCCTAAATATATATATATATAAAAAAAAAAACTAAATAAAGAAAATGAAATGTTTACTTTGAATGTTGACACAACTGAAACTCAATGACCCAATCAGTCGCTTAAAATGCTTTCTTTACTGAAAACAAAAAATAAAAAGACATTTTTTCATGAACACTTCAAATAATGCGTATTTGGATTAAATTCGAATTTTTTCTTTCAAAATAAAACCTATTCTTCAATCGAATTCTATTCACCTATTTTGTAGCCAGTAGAAAAGGCTTTAGTCACAATCTAAATCCAAAATAAATGTATAAGAAATAAAATATATATTTTCAATGCCAATATCTAGTGCTATACGATATTTTTTTCATTGAAAAACAAATTCAAAAAGACTATTCTCTCCTGTACATTTCAAATGCTTCATGTTTGAATGACATTCAATATTTTTTTTATCAAAGCTAAACTTAGTTTTAAAACGAATGTGGATTCTTTGACTTCGTAATTTTGTGAAAATGTTATTCCGCACATTTACCTAAAGTAAATATATGAGTCAGTCAATTATGTGCCATGCGTGATAGACGCTTAGGCGATCATGTATCGACGAAGCAGATTTTTCTCGTGGTAGTTTGCCCTTCAAGGCTATAGAACCCAGTTTGTCCTGCTATTTACACATATCTCGCAGGTGGGAGAGAAGAAAGATATTAGCACCTAAGTGAATGTAATGGTTCGACTGGAATTCGAACTCGGCTCTCCTATTTCTCAATACGAGCTGCTATCCATTATTCCAGACCCAACATACATTACCAGAACAAGGAATATCTATAATGTGTAGAAACAAGGATTAACACACAAGAGCAATAAATTTAGCTTCATTTCTCAGTGTACTTTGGTTAAAATCCCCCAAATGGGTCATATTATAATCAGATACATCCAACTCTTCAGGAATGGAGATTGGGTCCTGAATTTCAAACAGGTAATTTTTATAAATGACCTCAGTCAGTTATTTGCCATGCGTGATACACGCTTAGGCGATCACGTATCTTTCGATATATGATTGACGAGGCAGATTTTTTTTCCCCGCAGTAGGTTGGAATTTCTTTCTATGGTAGACCAGTTGCTATCCAAGGTTATAGAAGCCAGTCTGTCTTGCTTGGTGAAGAGAATTCTTATTTTTGCCAAGGTTATTAGCACGTAAGTGAATGCAATGGATTCGACTGGAATTCGAACTCTGCTCTCCGATTCGTCAATCCGAACAACTATCCACTACAATTTCTCGGTCGATTGTCTGTTGTACTTTAGTATATAAGGTATATTCATGTTAAATTCGAATTCTTTTCCAAATCGCCTTCAGTTGCTTTCCAACTGCTTTTGACGTCCCTAAACACAGCCTTCGCTCGCTCCTCGCTGCTTTGTTCGGGTGTCGCCGCTCCAAACGTGACGTCCGCCGGTCGCGTCAGTCGTGTTGTCCCGTCCTGTGACGACCAACTGGCTTGGTATCGGTCGCGGCACCCAAATGTGACGTTCTAACCTTTTGGTGATTCGGATGGGAATCTGGTTAGATTCGATATCAGCCTCGTCGTTCCCAACTCGCTTCCAACGGCTGGTTACCAAAGTAACTGCGTTGATCTCCAGTCTGCCTAGCCACGTTGTGAATTGATCTTAGGCAGACGAAATCAATCAGTCGTTAGGGCCGTAATGCAAGTCGGGTTCAAGCGAGGGTGGTATCGCACAAATATGCATAAAAGAAATAAAATGATAACTCAAAATTTCAAGATATCAAAAAAAAAAAAGGATAACAATACTTTATGTCTAGATGCTGGATACATAGGACTGCGTCCATCTCCCGACCCGTTATATGGATTGTGACACGTTGTTTTTTTTTGTTAGGCGAGTTTTAACACTTTAAGTTGTCTGTTCTTCAAGAAATTGGTTCTTGGTGTGTCTTCAGGCGAAAGTCGAAAAACTTATTTTGGTGGTATGGATCTAAGTCGCTCTTCAAAATAAATTGTTCTTGGATTGAAGATGAGTTCGGAAGTTGCGCGAATCTCAGTCAGCTGCGAGGCCTGATTCAACTGAGCACTCTGAACTCTTCGGGAAACTCTGCCGGACTGAGCTGTACTCTACTCAACTCAACTCAACTCAACTCAACTGATTTTTGCTCGCTGCGACTTTGCTTACATGGACGCCGACCAAAACCGGGATGGGTTTGTCGGCGTTGGAGGTTCCTAGATAATTCTAAATACCTATCCACTTCTTTTTATTTTTGGTTAGGAATTTTCACTTCTTTCCATTTTGGGAGTCTTTCTTACTCCCACCTACTCACCATACTTCAGAGGGCGTCAACGGTCCTCCCACTTCTTCGTAGCAACCTCTCATACCCATCCCCTAAATGGGCGGCGGCGGCTTCCCTCCTTGCGTCACGTGATCACCTCCGGCCAATGATGTCCAGCCGGGCGTGTGCGATCCAGCTGTCTTTGTTTCAGGAAAAAAAAAATATCTTGCTCAAAAAAAAATTATCTTTTTCTTTTCCTTTTCTTTCCTTAATCGCAGCTCTCATTTTCTCTGGCCGCCAACAGAACAATGCGACCAGTGGTGTGATAACCTCAATTCTTCATCTGGACTTCGTCAGTCAGATTTTCGCTAATTATCAGAATGGGTGGTCGTCCAGCAAAACACAGTCGACCGTCGTCTCGAAAAAACAGTTCCATTGTTCTAGTCATTCTTTGGTGCCAATTTCTGATAACATAGTTTTGTTATCACAACCGAAGATGTCTTGTCAAAAAACGGTCAGCCGTTACTCAAGGTTGGCCTCGTGTGCGGCTTAGCAGACGACACAGTTAATTTTTCTTATCTATCCAAAGCCCTGTATTTCACCTGTTCTTTGTCAATTATCAAAATAACATTATCAATTGGAGTTTTCTTAGCTAGTCGGTCTGTGGTTTGCTAATTAGATGTTTTCCCGCATTAAGCGGCTGTTATCTATCCCCGATAACACAAGTTCGTCGCCAGAACATAGTCGATTCCCTTATCCACTTGGATGTTTTTTTTTATCATCTACGCTTGGGTCTCGCCTCTCTTCTCCTTTCTTTCCTTTCTCTTTTTCCTTTCTTTTCTTTTTTGTCCTGTTAAATGGTGCTACATGCTTCAATGTAGTTTCCCCTGCCATTTCTATAAATATTATCATGGTAATTGTTCAGATGAACTTTCCTCTCTGGAATCTCGAATTTATGAACGTAAGCGGAGGACTATTAGAGTATTCTCATAATTTTACTCTTGAAAGGACTAAATATAGCCGTATCTTCTATTCTAACAGTTTCTTTTGTCGAAATATCTTGTTTGTGGAACTTTCTTCCGGCTTCCCAGTCAACTTTGATTTTAAAATTTTCACTGCAATGTCAACCGTTATCTACTGACATTTTAATTCTTGTTTTATTTATTTATTTATTTTTTAAACAATGGGGTTCATTCTGTACAAGTCCCAAGTTCTACTCGACGTAGAATGTTACAGAGTAAGAAGCAATTAGGCCGATAACGGTTAACCCTAGTCTTGAACTGGTTAAGATTGTAGTGATCCGTGAAGTATCCTCTTGGGAGTCAGTTCCACAAAGAAAGAGGTAAGTGGCACAATTTATGTGGACATGTAGGGAAGATAACAATTTACCCTAGACTTGAACAAGTTAAGATTGAACAGGTTAGTGATTGGGGAAGCATACTATTGGGAGTCAGTTCCACATAGCAGTTATTCGCAGGAAGAAGCTGTTTGAGTGTAACATACTTCTCGCCTATGGAATACGGAGGGAATGGGAATGGGGCACTAAAATTTGCGTAGCATGGCGGGTCCTAGCCGGGAAGGTTATGATTGGTAGAACTAAGGAAGCTAGTTCGTCTGAGCACTTTGGATGGAAGTAGCGAGTAGTGAGAGGTTTACTATATTTCGTCTATAAGAGATGGGTCGCCGGTTGGAAATGATTTATCACCCACATGGACGCGGAGACGCTTTTGAACTCTATCGAAACGGGAAAGTGATGATTAGAGAGTTCCTGCCCTAAAATGACAGAAGTAATAACTGATCTCTTTCCTTAATTACATTTTTCTTCTCATATTCTCCAACACTCAGTAACCCGTTGCATCTTAGTGACTTTATTGCCTTGTGTGGGATGTAATGATTAAGAAAAGAATAAAATTCTTGTTTTCATACGAACATGTATTCATCGATTTCGTAGTCAGTGAAGGCAGATTTATTCCCACCTTACGCCAAAAATAAATAAATAAATAAATACCAACTGAAGCGGTTATTTTCAGCTAAGAAGGTATTAAAACTCAGTGACACACTCTGTTGCCGAACAGCGTTTTCTTCATTGGAAAATGTCACTCATAGCCAGACTGACGACTTATCTGTCTTGTTCGGCTTGGATCGGTTCAGTAAGGAATAAACAAATTACTCTAATTTTATGACTCGTTCTGGTCTTTTCGTCTTGCATCTCGCTGACACGCCGGTCCTTGATCAATGTCGCTTTCCTTTATCGAACTGACTTGATCGATTGCTGAGTCAGGCCGAAACGAATCAGTAGTGAGAACAACGTACTGACAGCTCCGAGGTTAGAGGCTGCCACCCTTGAGGCGGTGTATAACGGCATATTTAGTTTGGAGAAAAGTAATTTCGAACGTGTCTACCTCACTCAAACTTTGCCCTGTGGCAATTAAATCAGTTAAGAGAAAAGAACGTTGGAGGAAGGGGTCGAAATAAAGAAAGGAAAAAAAAAAATGAAAAAGAGAATGGAATAAATGGAAAAATAAAAAAAAATGATATCTGAATGAAACGGAAAAGAAAGAACAAGAAGAAAGCTGATGGAAACGATAAAGGAAAAGAAGAAAATGATAAAAAAAATTAAGGAAAAAAAAAAGAAAGAAAAAAAAGAAAGAAGAAGAATAAAAAGAAAAGAAAAAGAAGATAAAAGGAAGGAGAATGAAAGAAAGAAGAAGAACGGAAAGCAACAGAAAGAAAAACGAAGAAGAAGGAAAAATAGAGAAGAATAAAAGGAAACAAAAAGGAAGGAGAATGAAAGAAAAAAAGAAAAAAAATAAAAGGAAAGGAAAAGGAAGGAGAATGAAAGAAAAAAAGAAAAAAAATAAAAGGAAGAAGAACAAAAGGGAAGAAAAAGGAAGATAAAAGGAAGGAGAATGAAAGAAAAATAAGGAAGAATACAAGGGAAGGAAAAGAAAGATAAAAGGAAAAAGAATGAAAGAAAAAAGAAAGAAGAAAAATAAAAGGAAAATAAAAGAAAGATAAAAAGGAAGGAGAATAAAAGAAAAAAGAAAGAAAAAAGGAAAGGAAAAGGAAGATAAAAGGAAGGAGAATGAAAGAAAAATAAAGAAAGAATACAAGGGAAGGAAAAGGAAGATAAAAGGAAGAAGATTGAAAGAAAGAAGAAAAATAAAAGGAAAGGAAAAAGAAGGAGAATGAAAGAAAAAGGAAGAACAAAAGGAAAGGAAAAGAAAGATAAAAGGAAGGAGAATGAAGAAAAAAGAAAGATGAAGGATAAAAGGAAAGGATGAAGAATGTAAAAGGAGGGAGAATGAAAAAAGACATATAGTAGAATAAAAGTAATGGAAGAGGAATTTGAAAGGAGGGCGAATGAAAGAAAAAAGAAAGAGAAAGAATAAAAGAAATGGATGAGCAGATAAATGGATGGAGAATGAAAGAAAAAAGAAAGAAGAATATAAGGAAAGGAAAAGGAAGATAACAGGAGAGAGAATGAAAGAAAAAAGGAAAACAAAAACATACAAGAAGAAAAGTGAATGGGAAAAAGGGAAGTGTATGAAAAGAAAAAAAGAAGCGAATAGAAAAAGAAGAAAAGGAGAGAATGAAATGTAAAGAGAAATAATAAAAGAAAATACAAATAATTATATGAAAATTAGAAGTAAAAATGAAGTAAAAGATAATGAAAGATGAAGAGAAGAGAATGACTGGAAAAAGGAAAACATTCAAAGCAAAAAGGAAATGCGAAGAAAATGAAAGATACGGAATGAAAAGAAATATCTAAAACATGAAAATGAAAGATAAAAAGAAAAGAATGAAAAATAAAAAAAAGAAAAGCGAAGGAGAATGAAAGCAAAATAAGAGAAAAAAGGAAGAAAATTAAAAAAAAAAGAAAGAAGTATTATGAAGGATAACGAAAAAAATCAAATGCATGAAAGAAAAATAAAATGAAAAGAGAAAAGAAGGAAAGAAAAGAAAGTAAAAGAGAATGAAAGGAAAAAAGAAAAGAAAAAGAAAAGAGAACGAAAGGGAAATTGAAAAGCGAATGACAGCAAAGGAAATGAAAAAAAATGGTGACAGGAAAATGAAAGAAAAGAAAAATGCAAGATAAATGGGAAATAAATAAATGTATAAAGAAAAAAATGAAAGCAAAAAGATACAAAAAAAAAGAAGAAAATTAAAAAAGAAAAAAGAAAAGAGCAAATATAAACTACAAAGAAATGTAAAGGAAAATTGTAAAAATGAAAAAGAAATTGAAAAAATGAAAAGATGGAAAGAACAGAAACACAAACGAAAAATGAACGAAAGAAAAAGAAAAGAAAATGAAAAAAAATAGCAAGGATTTTTATTTTCATTTTCATAATTAGTATTACCTTTTACGGTCGTCCTCAATGGGTTAGGCAAAAACCTAAGTTATTTAAAATTTTCATTAAGCTTTTTTCATTACGATATATGCCAACGGAAAATGATTTGATAAAATGATAAAATTAAGAAAACTATTCTAGCATCAATTAAAATTCGTCTTAATTAAAATTACTAAATCGAAAAAGTTTCTTTTTGGAATTGAAATGGCTTCGTCTTCGTTTGATATTGAAAAACAAAACATTGATATCGTGTCATTCCTTAAATTGAAGCGAGCATTTTATTATGAAAGCCATCTACAGATTTTTAGGGCTGCATTTCTCTGTAGAACACAGTTTCAGGTTATACATAAAGCATTTCCATTATTCTTTGAAACGTTCAGATTGATATTCCCATCTTTGATGCCTTTATCACGTCGATAATATCTTCTGTATTTTTCAAGGGAAATGTAACATGGATGAGGGTATATTTTTTTTTAATCTTTCCAATTTCGTCCTTTCTTTTCTCTGTTTTTAATATTTAATTTTCTGTTTTTATTTTAAGAGACGGATATGCAATGTGATGCAATGTGATTGGTCCTGATCTGGCATCTCGTCTACGGTCACTTTTTTACAGAGGTGCCGTCGCTTCCGTCTGTCTTTTCTACAAATATTTCACGGTAACTTCTTTCGCTAGTTCCCAAACTGCATGAATTTAAACGTGCCACTAGGTCGGCATCTCAGTCCCACCCTGTCACTGTCGAAACGGTTAAATGTAGCCGTCTCTTCTACTCCAATAGCTTCATGTCTCGCACTTCCCGTCTGTGGAACTCCCCTGGTCTTACTTACATCCATGATAGCTATAATCTTCAAATATTCAAATGTAATGTCAATGGACATCTTTTGATGACTTGCTCTTGATCCGCGTCCTTCTCCATATCCTTTCCTCAAACACTCCTCTTTATTCTTGCTCTCACTCTCTCAGTAAACCAGTTGCGTGCTAGTGGCATTCCTGCCTTCTATATTTTTTGCTTTCTTTCATTTTTTTTTCTTTTTCTTTGTTTTCTGAATTTTTTCTGTCTCCGCTTTTATCCTTTTACACATTTATTGTCTATATATATACATACACACACAAATATATATATATATATATATATATATATATATATATATATATATATATATGTAAGCAAACATATGGATATAGATCCGACAGTATGAAGAAAAATATACTGAAAAAACAAAAAAAATCCTAATATGCGATTATGCTGTTTTAATGTTTAATGTCAACGTCGGACGTTTCGGTCTAATAGACCATCTTCAGGACATATTCATAAAACATAATTAACATAGACCATATACGATTCAACATGAAAAAGACGATGGGCATAAAAGCAATACCAATCCAAAGAGATAACTGAAATCTTTTATAAGATCAGCGTTCAGTTTAAATATGATCACGTCGTCGTCACGTGGGTGATGTTGTGAAAACGTATTCCTAAAATTTGAGTATTTTGAATGAAAAACGAAAAGAATTTTATTTTTATCTAAAACTTATATGTACGTTTGTCGAGCATTAATTATGCTAGAAAAGGAGAAATATTAAAGAAGCCAGGTCTAGTATTCACCGTGCGTGCGATAGATATTATTCCTACTTCATAAATCCGCTAAAGATTTTTATTATGAAAATATTTTAAAATCTTCACAGAATCAAAATCGAAATTATGATCAGCTTTAGTTGTGTGTACAACTAAAGCACTGTTAAAATTTCCGAGGCGAATATCTCGTTTATGTTCGATCATAATTTCGATTTTGATTCTCTGAAGATTTTAAAATATTTTTCAGGGAACAAATATCCAAACATTTAAGGCGGCAAATTCTTTTTTTTCATTTTAGAATAATGTTCACCATCTATAACGCTGATGAGACACTCAGGATAGAGGGTTCCAGATTAAGAGGCACAATTTATTGTGATATCTTGTGAAAATAACGGTTGACCCTAGACTTAAAATTTAAAAATGTAGTGATCGGGAAAACATCTTCTATGGAATCTGTCTATATTTCTGAGATGAGGTATTATTTAACACTATTTACATTATTCGGAACATTGTCCTCATATTTATCGCCATATTTATTACAACGTTTCGGCCGTTGTACGCTCCGGCCTTCTTCAGGTTGTTAGAATCTCGAACTGAACCCTTTATTTCGCTCACTGGGGTAGACTGTTCTAGTTCCACGTGCCATGTTTAAGGTAAGGCTTCAAGAAAACCAGAAAACTGTAACACAAAGGGGAAGTGGAAAAATCAGGCGTGGCTGACCACATATGGAGAGAAAACGGAGATCACCGCCCTCTGTGGCATCAGGATGAGATCATAGACAAAAAACACTAAATTCGTAAACTTAAGGTATCAACAAATATTCTAGGCCACAAAAGTCTCCTGAGCTGTAATAAATATAGCGAGATGAGGATAATAGTCCGAATAATGTAAATAGTGTATATTCTTGGGAATCTGTTTCACAAAGCAGCAGTTCGTGGGAAGAAGCTGCTCGGGTGGATCACTCACCAATGGGTGATTTGAGTGGGGATTTGCTTCAATATGCGTGGTTTTATATAGTTTTACTATTCTTATTCTATAGTCTTAGTCTTCTTATATTCTTAGGTATATAGTCTTAGTCTTGTTATCTTATAGTCTTAAATTTACCTCATAGTCTTAATTTTCTTATCTTATAGTGTTAGTCATATCATAGTCTTAGTCATATCATATTGTCTTAGGTTTTCTATCTTATGGTCTGTGTTTTATCTTATATTCTTCGTATCTTATAGGCTGAGTGATAGCCTTAGTTTTCTTATTTTATAGTCTTTGTCTTATAGTCTTAGTCTCCTTTTCTCATAGCCTTAGTCATATCATACAGTCTTATGTTTCTTATCTTTTGTCTTTGTCTTGACTTATAGTCTTAGACATCTTATAGTTTTAATTTTCTTATAGTCTTGGGTTTCTAATAGTCTTTGACATATCTTATAGACTTAGTCATATCTTATAGTTTTTATATTATCTTATATTTCTTATAGTCATAGTCTTTCTTAACCGATAATGTTAGTCTTATCTTATCGTCTTAGGCTTCTTATAGTATTTGTTTTATCATATAGTCCTAGTCATATCTTATAGTCTTAGGCGTCTTATAGACATAGGCATCTTAAGGTCTTAGTCTTATCTTATAGTCATATTCTTCTTCTTATTTCTAATCAGTTATATCTCATTGTCATAGGCTTCCTATGTTATAAACTTTGTCTTATCTTATAGTCTTAGGTTTCTCATCATATAGTCTTAGTCACATCTTACAGTCTTAGGAATATTATCTTATAGTCTTAGCCTTCTTAACTTACTTAATCTTATCTTAACTTATAGAAACATTTTTTATGATAAATGGTTTTGAGAAACAAAAGAAAGGTTATTACTTGGTTTTTGTTGTTCGGTTTTATTTGTTTTATGGTTCTTGTCGAAATACAAACCAGAGAGAAATGAGAAGAAAAGGCGAACATATTCTTCTATGTGCGGCGTCCTATCAGGACAAGAGGGATCATGACTCTCCACAACTTCCTATCCCTTATGGCGCTCAGCAGTTCTTCTTAAATTTACTAAACCTCTCTCATTCACACAAGCCCGACAGCTAAGTGGTACGATGCCTTCCTCTATCACTCTTGTCCTCCATATGCCATGTGAGTCTTAAATTTTCCATGCCTTCAATCCTCATGATGTGTCCAAGGAATTTACGCGGTATCTTCATGATTATGTATTTTTATCATCATTTACTTTATGACTTCCTCGTTTCATGCTCGCTTCGGCATGGAATTCTCAGTATCCTTATGTAGAATCACTTTTTTGTTGCTCCCAGATTTCCCTGCAACCATTTTGTCCATCATTCAGTGCCATGTGCGAAGATGGATGTCACATAGCAATCCAGTATTCTTTGTTTCTAACGAAAATATTCGGATGCTTAGCTTTTTGAATGCCTCTTTCGGCGGTCCAAGACGTGTTCGGATCACGGTGCCGCATTTTCCACCTTCTGGTAAAAACTTTCCCAGATATTTAATCTTCTCTTTGATGTTGCCATCTCTGGTTCATAACTCGCATCTTGGGCGTTTTCTCTTGATGGGGGCTATAGTTTCTGCTTTCTTATAGTTGATGGTTACTAAAAAAAAATACATTAGAAAGGCGATCTTGAAGAAAGAAAGAAAGAAAGAAAGAAAGACAGATGAAAAACACAAGGAAGTAAAATAAGAAAATAACGTTGAAAGAAGACAAAGAGAAGAAAGAAGAAAGGGGAAGAGAAAATAACCGAATAAGAAAACAAATTTCACGGAGAAAAAAGTAAGAAAGAAAAAAAGAAAGAAAGAAAGAAAGAAATCAAGATGAAAAAGAAAAGGAAATAGAACAAAAAAAATAAAGTTGAAAGAAGAAGTAAACGGAAATAAAAAAGAAAGTGTACGAGAAATAGATACAAAAGAAAAGAAAATAACCGAATAAGAAAATATATTTCACGGAGAAGAAAAAAAAAGAAAGAAAGAAAGAGAGAAAGAAAGATGAAAAGAAGAGGAAAAAAGAAGAAAATAAATTTGAAAGAAGAAAAAAAGAAAAAAGAAAGTGTACGAGAAATAGATACAAAAGAAAAGAAAATAACCGAATAAGAAAATATATTTCACGGAGAAGAAAAAAAGAAAGAAAGAAAGAGAGAAAGAAAGATGAAAAAGAAGAGGAAAAAGAAGAAGAAAATAAATTTGAAAGAAGAAAAAAGAAGAAAAAAGAAAGTGTACGAGAAATACATACAAAAGAAGAGGAAATAACCGAATAAGAAAATATATTTCACGGAGAAGAAAAAAAGAAAGAAAGAAAGAAAGAGAGAAAGAAAGATGAAAAAGAAAAGGAAAAAGAAGAAGAAAATAAATTTGAAAGAAGAAAAAAGAAAGTGTACGAGAAATAGATACAAAAGAAGAGGAAATAACCGAATAAGAAAATATATTTCACGGAGAAGAAAAAAAGAAAGAAAGAAAGAAAGAGAGAAAGAAAGATGAAAAAGAAAAGGAAAAAGAAGAAGAAAATAAATTTGAAAGAAGAAAAAAGAAGAAAAAAGAAAGTGTACGAGAAATAGATACAAAAGAAGAGGAAATAACCGAATAAGAAAATATATTTCACGGAGAAGAAAAAAAGAAAGAAAGAAAGAAAGAGAGAAAGAAAGATGAAAAGAAAAGGAAAAAAGAAGAAAATAAATTTGAAAGAAGAAAAAAGAAGAAAAAAGAAAGTGTACGAGAAATAGATACAAAAGAAGAGGAAATAACCGAATAAGAAAATATATTTCACGAAGAAAGAAAGAAAGAAAGAAAGAAAGAAAGAAAGAAAGAAAGAAAAAGAAAGAAAGAAAGAAAGAGAGAAAGAAAGAATGAAAGAAGATAAACAAAGAGATCGGTCGGTCAACTGAATCGAAACTTTATAATTATTTCTATGCATTGTGAATTAATGTTCCATCTTCTTTTCCAATTCTTTATTTATTGAAGTACGTGGCTTTTAAAACTATTTTGTTTCTATTATCCTTCCTGATATTCTTGTCGGTGAAACTTCGAGAAATACATGTCGGTGTTTTCGTTTGAGGAAATCGCGAATGAAGGGCTGGGAAAAGAGTCGAGGAGTTAAAACTGGGAAAGATAAACAAGAACAAATGGGAAAGGAAAAAAAACTTATACGAAAAGAGGTGACGAGATAAAGATGGAAGTAGGAAGAGCGCAGATAACAGAAAGAAAGAAAGAAAGAAAGAAAGAAAGAAAGAAAGAAAGAAAGAACGAACGAACGAACGAAAGAAAGATAGAAAGAGAAAAGGAAGGAGGGAAGCAAGGAACGAAGAAAGAAAGAAAGAAAGAAAGAAAGAAAGAAAGAAAGAAAGAAAGAAAGAAAGAAAGACGGAAAGAAATACAGTATCCTAGATAGGAAAGAAATAAAAAAAATAAACTAAAAGAATACTAGACATTAAAAAGAAAGAAAGAAAAAATCCTAGAAAGAGAAAAGGAAGGGAGGAAGAAGCAAGGAACGAAGAAAGAAAGAAAGAAAGAATCCTAGAAAGAGAAAAGGAAGGAAGGGAGGAAGGAAGCAAGGAACGAAGAAAAAAGAAAGAAAGAAAGAAAGAAAGAAAGTGGATGAAAGATTGAAAATTAAATGAAGAATAATCAAGGAGATAAAAAAGAAAGAAAGAAAGAAAGAAGAAAGTGAATGAAAGAATGAAAATTAAATGAAGAAGAAGCAAGAAGAGAAGAACGATAGAAAGAAAGAAAGAAAGAAAGAAAGTAAATGAAAGATGAAAATTAAATGAAGAAGAAGCAAGGGGATAAAGAAAGAAAGAAAGAAAGAAAGAAAGAAAGAAAGAAAAGAAAAACAAATGAAACAGAATTAAAACATGAAAGAGGAAGGGAAAAAGAAAACAGCCAGATGGAAAAAAAAATGAAAGAAAAGATGAACGGATACAGTAGCCAAAAATACAAAACAAATAACGATGAAAAATTGTAAACAAAAATATTAAAAAACGAAGAAAATATGGAATAAAAGAGAAACGATGGAAGAAAGAAAAAGATTGTAGGAAAAATAGAACAACTAAAGGAAAAATAAATAAAAGAAGAAGGATAGAAGAATAAACGATAAAAAAAGAATTCAAAGAAGAAAACTGAACGAATAAAAGAGAGGGAACAAAAAGAAAGAAAGAAAAAAGGAAAAGAAAGAAAGAAAGAAAGAAAGGGTAATGGTAATAACTGGTCACTCGTATCCCTATTGCGGACGCCTTCTAAACCCACAGATCTGTAATTTATACTGCAATTATGCTAAGCCGATCTGACGGTTTCTGGGAGTAGCTGGGAGGATCAACAGTTTAAACAATAGAACTATAAAGCAAGTAAGAATGAAAAAAATAAAAAAAACAATGAAGAAAAAATAATTCAAAGAAAAAAATCTAATAAAATAATACGAATAAAAGGAAAGTGAAATTAAAAATTGAAAGAACTGAAATATAAGAAAGATTAAATAATGAAAGAAAGGGAGAAGAAAAAAGAGAAAAAAAGAGCAGAATGGAAAAAAAGAAAAACAGAAGAAAAATGAAGGAGAATATGCAGGTATAAACTATACTCAAACCCTACTTGCACCGAGTCGGCTGGGACTAGGGAATACGTCGACTGCACGTCTGCAGAGGGGTAAGACCACCCCACCCACTCAATGGGCGTACTGAGGAAGACGATAAACTACATTCGTGTCCTGGGTAAGACGATAAACTACATCTGGCAGCAAGGCCTTGATAAGAAGGTTTTGAGTAGCGTGGAACGACCTCTTGGTTGCTGGTGTTCCCGGGACCACTCTGACCCGGGGTGGTGACGCCTTTCTAGTACCAGCTATAGGCAAAACAGGAGTCAACCCTTAACTGGAGTCAAAACACTATGAAAGTGTAAAAATAGGTTTTAATACCAATCATACTCTTTGGAAAAAAATTTACCAGCAATATATTTTGGAAAAAAAATATTACAAGCAATACATTTTTGGAAAAGAGGTATTGCCAGCAATATGTTTTTGAAAAAAAAATATTTCCAGCAATAAAAATCTTGTGGGCATTAAATAACCCATTGGGGTTGATATACCGTAAAACAAATGAAACCAGACCAAACCAAACCAAGAAACCCTACTTGCTAGCTCAACCGTCAACGGCTCCCAAGTAGTTCCTTATACCTAATTGCAATTACAAGGCTGGGGTCAAGCTGTGGTATCTTCTTCATTTTTTTTTTTACATTCTGACATTAAGAATTCATAAATTAACCATAGTGTGATTCGAACTAGAGTCGAAAAGCAATCATTTTAACCACCCGGAAATATGCTCTTAGAAAACAAAACGAACGAGATAATAATATATAATTAAAAAAAAAACAAGTATTTATAGAGAAAAAAGAACATAAAAAATAATTAATGAACGAAACAGGAACGCAAAAGAAATGAAATAAAGTAAAAAACAAAACAAAAATACGACGAGGAACGAAGCAAATATGAATGAAAAAATATTATGTACATTATTTACATTATTCAGACTATTGTCCTCATGTTTGTCGCCATATTTATCACAAGGTTCGGCATTTCAGTATCTGTTTATATTTCTGAGATGAGGTATTATGTACATTATTTACATTATTCGTACTATTGTCATCTTTGTTGCCATATTTATTACAAACTTTCGCGTTTATACACTGTACCGTATGTCGTTGACGATACATGGCACAGTGGGTAAAGGCGTTAGTTAGATCCAGGGACAGGACCCAAAGAGTGTGAATTCAATACCCGGTTAAGGCAGTGGAGAACTTGGAGACGGAAATTAACAAGAAGAAGAATTAAGCAAAATATATGTATTATCTTGAGAGTTGAGAAAATGACTTTCTTCGGAATTTGTAAAATTGATTCTTTCAAGGCAAAGAACAACACTCGCAATATGATGTAAGGCATCATCATCATCATCATCATCATCAGTCCTATGAGTGGGTGTGATTGTAATGTCACTGGGAGACGATCGCCAGCCGCTCCAGTTTTCAATACCCGGTTAAGGCAGTGGAGAACTTGGAGAGGGAAATTAACAGGAGATAACTGATAACTGACATCCATTAAAACATGGCACGTGGAACTAAAACAGTCTACCCCAGTGAGCGAAATAAAGGGTTCAGTTCGACATTCCAACCACCTGAAGAACGGCCGAAATGTTGTAATAAATATGGCGACAAAGATGAGGACAATAGTCTGAATAATGTAAATAATGTAAATAATAAATATATGAAAGTAGAAACATTTTTAAAAGGAATGAACTGAAATATAAGAAAGATTATTAATGAATGAAAAGAACTGAAAATGAAAAAGAAAAAATTAAATAGAATAAGAACAGAAAAACAGCGGGGGGAATGATATCGAATGAGAAAGGTGAAGGGAAGAAACGAGAGGGAAAAATGGAAAAGAAATTCTAAACTAAGAAGAACAAGAAAGAAAAGAAAGAATTAATGAAAGAATGAAAGAAAGAATGGAGAAAGGGTTGAAATAAAGAATGAAGAAATAAATGAAGGAATGAATGAAAAAAGAATGAAGGAAAGAATGAAAAAAAGAATGAAAGAATGAATGAAAAAAGAATGACGGAAAGAATGAAAGAAAGAATGCATAAAAAAGAATAAAGGAAAGAATGAAAGAAAGAATGGAGAAAAGATTGTGCGAAAGAATGAGTAAAAGGTTGGAAGAAAGAAGGAAGAAATAAATGAAGGAAGGAATGAAAAAAGAATGAAAGAAAGAATGTAGGAATGAATGAAGAAAAGATTGAAAGAAAGAATGGAGAAAAGAATGAAGGAATGAAAGAAGGAATGAAGGAATGAATGAAGAAAAGAATAAAGAAAAGAATGAAAGAAATAATTAATGAAAGAATGAAAGAAAGTATGAATGAAGGAATGAATAAAAAAAGAATAAAGGAAAGAATGAAAAAAAGAATGAAGGAATGATTGTAGGAAAGAATGAAGCACTGAATGAAAAAACAATGAAGAAAAGTGAAGAAAATGATGGAGAAAAGAATTAACAAAAGAATGAAGAAATGAATGAAAAAGAGAATGCAGCAAAGCATGAAGGAACGGATGAAGAAATGAATGAAGAAAAAATGTAGAAAAGAATAAAGTATAGAATTGTTGAATAACCCCATCGTTCTGCGGAGGATTTGAGCGATGCCATCAATTCGATAATAAAGTTACATTCTCCTTTCGTGATCGATGATCGCTAGTTGTTTTGGGTCCAGAGATAAAAGAACTTCAATACGTCGACATTTACATTTTCTAACTATTCAGTGGAGTCGCTCCACGCCCTGGGGAGCCGTTCTAGACACGAAAGAAAACACGTCTACATTTTTGACGGTTAAGACTCGACTCCATGAAAAACCTTTCTCTATCTCCTATTCTACACTCGTTCAGCCAATCAAAAGCGACTTCCTTATTTTGTCTTCCATCTGACCTCGAAGGCCAACCACATGAAATCCGAGCAGAAATATACCTTCTCTAAAAACAATAGTCTGGTAAACTGTTATTTAACAGCATGAAGAAAAGAATGAAAAACTGAATGAAGAAAAGAATGAAGAAAAAATGAAGGAATGAGTGAAGAAACAATGGAGAAGAGAATGAAGGAAAGAATGAAGAAAAATGAAGAAGTAACTGGTTAAAACGTAACGCTAAAAAGGAACATGTTAATATAAGAAATTTTAAAGTGCAGAAGAATGTCGAAAGAAGACTTAAAAAAAAACATTAAAAAAGAATTGACACAGAAGTAAATAAAGAAAATTAAAGAAGGGAAAATGAAATCAAATTAAAGCAGTCCTCAAAGAAGGAACGTGTAAAGAAAGAGATCGACAGAAAGAAAAAGAAGCACATAAAGCGAAAGGGAAAAGAAAGAGAAAAGAGATTGAAATAATGGAAGCAGTAGAAATGAAAAACAAAATGTGACCAAAAAGAAAGAAGAAGAAAAAAGAAAGGAACGAAGAAAAATGTGAAAAGGAAAAGAAGAAAATCTAAAAGAAATATAAACAAGAAAGAAAGAAAGAAAGAAAGAAAGAAAGAAAGAAAGAAAAGAAAGAAAGAAGTGAGAACAGAAAAAACGGAGAAAAAAAGGAAGGAAAAGGAATGAAGAAAAAGAGAAATAAACTAGAAGAGGGGAAAAAGAATAAGGGAAGGAAAAAGAATAGAAGAAACAAAGAAAGAAAGAAAGAAAGAAAGAAAGAAAGAAAGAAAGAAAGAAACGGGGAAAGGAAGAAAGATAGAAAAGTAAAAACAAAGCAAGAGAAAGGAAGGAACAAAAGCGAAATAGAAAGAAAGAAAGAAAGAAAGAAAGAAAGAAAGAAAGAAAGAAACGTGGAAAGGAAGAAAGATAGAAAAGTAAAAACAAAGCAGGAGAAAGGAAGGAACAAAAGTGAAATAGAAAGAAAGAAAGAAAGAAAGAAAGAAAGAAAGAAACGGGGAAAGGAAGAAAGATAGAAAAGTAAAAACAAAGCAGGAGAAAGGAAGGAACAAAAGTGAAATAGAAAAAAAGAAAGAAAGAAAGAAAGAAAGAAACGGGGAAAGGAAGAAAGATAGAAAAGTAAAAACAAAGCAGGAGAAAGGAAGGAACAAAAGCGAAATAGAAAGAAAGAAAGAAAGAAAGAAAGAAGAGAACAACGGCATCAAGGAAACTACAATGACAGCATAGAGAATAAGTGGACAAAGAATTAGGGAAAGAAAGAAGGAAAGAAAAATGCAGATAGGAAAATAGAAAGAATGAAAAAAAAAGTAGTGAGACTAATGTGGAAAACGAAAGAAAAAAGAAGCGGAAATAATGAGGGAAAGTCTGCGAAGGAAGAAAGGAATAGAGAAAGAATAGAAGAAAACGCACAAAGAAAAAAAGAAAGAAAAAAAGGGAAGACAGAAGGAAGAACTAAAGAACGGAAAAGAAAGAGGTGAAAATAATGTCGAAAGAAAGAAAGAACGTACCAATGAAAGAAATCAATCTAAAAGCTGAAGTAATACAGAAGAATTTATGATAGACGGAATGAAGGAATGGAATGAAATCGAAACAGTGTGAATAAAAAAAGAAAAGAAAAAAAGCAAGATGGAAGAGGTAATATGCGGAAACGCAAAGAAAGATAATAATTTACTAAAAATGAGAGATAGACGCGGGGAAGAACAATGGGAACAGAAGAATATATATATATATATATATATATATATATATATATATATATATATATATATATATATAAGAAAAATAGATAAAAAAAGAAAGAAAAAATAAAACGATATAAAAATAGAGTTGTAAGAAAGAATGATGATAAAAAAAGGGATGACAAAAATAAATAGGATTAGAGATCAAAGACAAAGCATCAAGAAATAAAGATAAGAAATGTTTAATGAAAATAAAAAGATGAAAAATTACCAGAAAGGATTTATGGTCGTTGAAAAAAAAGATGAAAAGAAACCGAATCATTCAATGACATAAAGGCCGCTCGCTTTGTAGTAGATATAGTTGTATGAATCATTGAGTGATTTATCTGTCGTCATGCTAGCTAGGGTGCGAAACCAATGAAAGGTAGGATTTTAAACGCTAATAGTTAAGCATAGATGATCTGACCAATTTTCTGTCTAACACTGTACTGGCCACTCGTATTCGAGTATATCAGTTTACAAGGCCGGCTAGCCAATCATATTTCAGACGTTTACTCAGGCGCATTTGTGTTTAGGTAACACCCACAGAGCCAACCCGTGGTTCATGCTGTATCTATGTTGATCATTAGTTACTGTTTCTGGGAAAGAGCGTGTTATCTATCGTGATCAACAATTTGAACAAGGCCAGCACGCTCAAGCCCTCGGTGACTTATGACTTCGTGCTAGCAAAGCTATCTACGGCCTCTAGGGGACTGACCGTGGTATGGTTGTGAGGCACTTTCCAAAGGGATCGACTCCTCCAGTCCGATAACATCAGGACGTCAACTGACAAATGGACCATGATGAGATTTGAACCCGGGTCCTATTCTAACCACTCAATTAGATTAGTGAATATCCACGTATTTTTTCACTGGTTAGCACAAAAAAAATTTTACTTAAGTTTCTAGCTCTATATTGGTCAGGTCTGTACATGCGTTTAAAAGAAAACTTTGAGTGGTGTTACTCTTGAGTCTAGGTAAATATTGATGCATTTACACAGTGTCTATTGGAAAATATTGTTTTTATTTTTTATATATATGTGAATATTGACTGGGTTCATACTCAAGGCTCTAGTTAAATATTACCAAGATTTATACTTGAGTCTATAATTAAACATTGGTCAGTTATATATTCGAGTTTAGAAGCAACCACATGGAAGGTGCTGATAAGGAACCTGGCGGAATATTTTAGGCGTTCTTGATAGGGGAATCTAGTGTAGCGATTTCGAACCCCACAATCTAAGTGTTGTGAAATTGTGAGCTACTAAGATAAGCTTGGTATCATATTTATTATAAAACTCAGGCTCTGTGTGTGTGTGTTTGTATGTACGTTTATATATTGGATCGTATTTCCTACATTTTTCAACTGATTTCAACAAAACTTCACAGGACTACGTAAAATTACCTTGCGGTGGTTCTGACAGCGCCAAAAATTGGAAAAATACGATTGTTTTTGCACAAAATCAATTTGAAAACACGATTAAGAAGCATCGCTGAAATGAATGAAAGGTGGACAACTCATACCGAGTTATACTTATTATTATAAAACCCAGGTTGTTTGTTTGTGTGTGTGTGTTCGTTTATATATAGGATCGGATTTCCTACCTTTTTCAACCGATTTCAACAAAACTTTACTTTTTTTTTTGGCAGGTAGTGTTTCTTATTGTCTTGCACACTTCTTTCTTTATTTTTACATTCAGAATGCTTTAAAAATTCCATTTACAAGACAATTGTTTATGATAAATTCTATTCATTCGGTAGACTCATAACGATTGAAAACAATGTTTTTGTTTGAGTTTGGGTTTGACCAATTCGTAAAAAAACAAAAAAAACACACACAACAAAAAACTAATTAAGACATGCGTGTCCGTCAACCTTAAACAATAAACTTTTTTCAATTTTATTTTTCAGTCTTTATGATGGTCGATACTTGATCTATCTCTTACTGTTACATCCCCGGGCAACGCCGGGTTCTACTGCTAGTATATTAATGTATCATTGACTAACTAATCTTGAAGACAGTTATTACTAGACAGACTTCAGTCCTTATTGTGTGCATTAAGCTTGTAACATTCGATAAAAATTTAGTAATATACTAAGTAAATATTACTATATATATATATATGTGTCATTTATTGTCTGCGTAATCCTTTTGATCTTTTCAGTACAACCGAGAGAACGGTGTGTGGGTTTGGGTAGCGTACGCCCTCCTTATATCATCGCCTAAACCTGCAACCTGGAAAGCACAGAAGGACTGGATTTTGACTAAAAAGGGAATTGTCATTATCTTGGGAGGTAAATTGGTTCCTACTACGAAAAATTATCGAGGAAATTATTTATGATTTACGTTCTATCAAGTCCCGCATGCTTGTCTTCTAAAAAATGCAAATATCTATTTACGAGCCGGGTCGGCTCGTAAATAGATATTTGCATTTTTTAGAAGACAAGCATGCGGGACTCATAGCTGAAAGAGTTGTATTTTTTCTACCGGCCCCAGTTATCCGCGTCCAAACCCAGTTGAAAAACCGGTGTTTTTGGTAACGATATTTAAGTTTTCATATTTAGAAATTTGACGCAAGACAGTCTCTCCAATTTAACGTCATAGTGTCCATTGTTCCACTAGGGGAACATTTTAAAATATATTTTAATACCAGACAATCATTAATTTTTGTTATTCTATTTTTATCAACAATATAAACGGAAAAGACTAAAATACATTATGTGTTTAGACATCAGGTACAATATTTATAAATGTAAAAGGCAATAGGAAAATTGTAATAGGTGCCGACGCGTTTCGTCCGATCTGGACTTTCTCAAGGCAAAACGAAGTGAATTTATTAAAAAAGAGTAACTAATAATAACAAAACAAAATGTCCTTAGCAAGTGGAAAAATTCAGAGGACGCTATTTTCATACTGTTAACTGAAATTACGTCAATTTGATCAAGTCCGTGGTTGAGCCGGGGTCCGTCGCCGGGGTCCGTCGCCGGGGTCCGTCGCCGGGGTCCGTCGCCGGGGACGCAGAGATAAAAGGTAGTTAAATATTTTCTTGCTGATAGATTATTTTTTTTACTCTTGCGGCAGTGGAAACTTCTGGGGTTATTGGCCCTCGTTCGATGGCGTTCCTTCGAAGGGTTGGCGCGATTGCGTCTCGATTAAGGGATGAGGCTCGCGAAACGGTGTGGCTCTTGCAGCGTGTCTCACTGGCGATGGTTCGAGGTAAGATTTTCGCATTCATTGTAGCTGGCAAACAGCAAAAAAATGTTTATAGTTACTTTAGCAAGATAGAATTTGATTTCTCATTTAATCCTTGTAAAAGTGACGTTATGCTTCTTCAGAATTATATCAATGACTGTCCCGTGTGGAGATACTGATTTTATTTTTGTGTTGACGGATTCAACCATTTTCTTTTGGTTTCTTGATACTGTTCTGTACGCTTGTTTGGGAAAATGGTTGAATCTTTCAACACAGCAATAAAGACAATATCTCCACACATGACAGTAATTGACGTAATTTCAGTTAACAGTATGAAAATAGTGTTCTCTAAATTCTCCCAGTTGCTGAGGACATTTTGTTTTTGTTATTATCAGTTACTTTGTTTAATAAATTCATTTCGTTTTGCCTTGAAAACGTCCACATCGGACGAAATGCGTCGGCAAATATTACAGTTTTCCTATTTTCTTTTACATTTATAAATATTGTCTCTTTTTGAACAGATTAACTCTGAGAATTTTTTCACATCATGTACCATTTATGATTCATCCATTTATATTGTTTTTAACAAATTTTGCGAACATGCCCAGGTACTACAATGTTATTATCCCCTGCATAACTTTTATGTACCATATCTTTTATTTCTAAAAGTATGCTCTTGATTTGCTGCCTTGTGTCAAATATATCTAAACTTAGTAAACGTCAATAACAAACAAGAAGAAGAAACAGTAATATGCAAAATGCGAAATGCGAATAAAGCGAAACGGATAGGAAACAAAAATTACAGCAAAAAGAGAAGAAAAATGGAATAAAAGTATGAAAAAAATCGAAGAAACCTAGATTTCTGGCAATAGTCTTACTTCACGAAAAATCTGCGTCAGCTATCCTTGAAGACAGGCAGTCAGTCTTAGATGAGCAAAAGTTCATCTGGTAGAATCGATATCAGGGAGCCTGGGATAAGCAGAAGGCAAAGATGTAAGGTGGGGATTGGGCGGAGAATGTATGGAAATTGGGAAAGAAAGTTAAAAACAAAAAATAAAGAGAAGGAGGAATCAATAAAGGAAGAAAAGATAATGAATGAAAAACAACACACCCTCCATCACCAAAAAGAAAATGAAATAGAAGAGAAAAAATGCTTATTTGGGGGAGTAGAATCTTCACGAAAAACGAAACGAAATACAAAATATTTCCACTTGTGTATTGTATTTTTGAAAAGTTTTTCTTTTTGGGTTTCTGTTTTTTTTTGACACTCCTCAAGGAAATTTTTATGGAAATATTTTTAGTGCAATTAAGTCTATTTTTTCCCTAAAAGTACAGAATCCGCTATTTACAGAGTTCGGATTGTTGACCTCTTCTTTATTGCCATATTCACAATGTTTAAGCCGTTCTACGCACCAGCCTTCTTCAGGTGATTAGAATTTCGAACCGAACCCTTTATTTCTCAAAGATACATTTTTTTTTGTTTTGATTTTTTTTTGTTTTGATTTTTTTTTTGTTTTGATTTTTTTTTTGTTATTTCTTTAAGCATATCACCCAAGCAAGGCGGAAGAGCCACTAGCACTCAAGGGGTTACAGAAAATGGGAGCAAGGGGTGTTTGAGGAAAGGATATAGAGAAGGACGAGGATCAAGATCCACTCATCAGAAGATATCAATTGACATTACATTTGAATATTTGAAGATTATATCTATCAGGTAAGTAAGTAAGAGGAAGGGAGTTTCACTGTTGGGAAGTGCGAGATAAAAAGCTTTTAGAGTAGAAGAGACGGCTACATTTAACCATTTTGAGAGTGAAAAGGTGGTACCGAGATGCCAACCTAATAGCCCGCTTAAATTCATGCAGTTTGGGCACCAGTGAAAGTAGCTCGTCAGAGCAGTTGCTATGAAAATATTTCTAGAAAAGACAGAGATAATCTAGTGGATAAATAGCGTTAGTTGAAGTAATCCAGTGACTTGACCCAAAGACTTGTGAGTTCAACAGCTGAGATGAATAAAAACTTGGAGAATTGAATTAAAGGGAGATAACTGAAACTGATTCTCTGATATCGGAAAGTGGCATGTACGTGGGCGAAATAAAAGGTTCGGTACGAAATTCTTTTGACTTGAAGAAAGCCAGGGTCGTACAACAGCAGAAACGTTGTGCATATGGCAACACAGATGAGGGCAACAGTTCGAACATTGTAAACAGGGTAAATAATTACAATATCTCATCTCAGAAATATAGAAAGATATCCATAAATCCGGCCATATTTCGTTTATTTATATCCTATCACCAGTTTCGGTAATAACAAAACTTACGGAAATGTGTATAGCGTTGTCTATATCAGCGGGTAAAGTGGATCTTGCGAGCTGGTTTCAAATTTCCTCCATGACTAGGCCTTTCGCTTTTACATAAATACCTTTAGAAATAACTAAGTCCAAATGTTCCTCCAATCCAACGAGGTTTTTTTTTTTTGCTTTAGTTCACCCATTACAATGCCCAAGATCCATTCAAAGTAGAATCTTGCTACGTAGGATTGTTGCAATGGCGTAGAAAAACATAAGTAAATTAGTTAAAAGCAGAGAACATCTGTTGTTCCGGCACATTGATGTTGTTCAAAACCCACCTTGGTTTACACTTTGTCGTCATACCCTTGACGCAGCTGCAGTTTATCGTCCTATCCATTGCGCGGATGTCGTTTGTCGTCATACCCAGGACGCGGATGTAGCTTATTGTTTTACCCAGGACGCGAATGTAGCTTATTGTTCTACCCAGGATGCGGATGTAGTTTATCGTCCTTCCTATGACGAGGATGTAGTTTATCGTCTTATCCAGCACGCGGATATAGTTTATCGTCCTACCCACGAGGCGGATGTAGTTTATCGTCTTACCCAGGACGCAGATATAGTTTATTGTCTTACCCACGAGGCTGGTGTAGTTTATCGTCTTACCCACGAGGCGGATATAGTTTATCGTCTTACCCAGGGCGCAGATATAGTTTATCGTCCTACCCACGAGGCGGGTGTAGTTTATCGTCTTACCCAGTACGAAGATATAATTTATCGTCTTACCCAGGATGCGGATATAGTTTTTCGTCTTACCCAAGATGCGGGTGTAGTTTATCGTCTTACCCAGGATGCGGATATAGTTTATCATCTTACCCACGAGGCGGGTGTAGTTTATCGTCTTACCCACGAGGCGGGTGTAGTTTATCGTCTTACCCAGTACGAAGATATAATTTATCGTCTTACCCAGGATGCGGATATAGTTTATCGTCTTGCCTAAGATGCGGATATAGTTTATCGTCCTACCCACGAGGCGGGTGTAGTTTATCGTCTTACCCAGGACGTGGATGTACTTTATCGTCCTACCCATGAGGCGGATGTATTTTTTCGTCATACCCAGGATGCGGATGTCGTTTATCGTCTTGCCCACTACGCGGATGTAGTTTATCGTCATACCCAGGACAGACATGAGCTGGGTGAAATAAACTTTATCAGCTTTTAAATATCATTTATCTTAAATTCATACTATCTTTATTCAGTCAAAAATTACTGTACGGCCGTAGTAGCCCTAAATCACGGATTAATCGTTATCCTTCCTCCTTTATCTTAATAAACTTTGCACAGCATTAATCATTACTATTTTTATAGCAATGCTCTACCTTGAGCAGCTCTCGAGCTCTATACTGGTTGAATTTTAGTATGAAAAACGTCATTTTTTTGCATGTATATTTGTAAGACATATGTAACCTATCCTGAGTCACAGCTGTACTGTTCGAATTTTAGTAAACTGCTCTCTGGACATAATACCAGCGAACTGGACTGGCTGTAATATCAGCAAAGATTCCAATCGCAACAAACCTCTGTAAGCAACTGAAGGGTTTGCCTTGTAGCTACGAAGAGAAGAGTAATCGTGTCAGGAGATTTTCATGTCATCTATTCTCTCTAGATAAGCTACTGAAGAGAGACTGTAACACGCAGTTAGATGAGTAAATATCAATGTAGGCTGTTCTCTGTGGCCCATACTCGGTTAGTGACTACTCGCTTACTGACCGTCTCAATGGATTATCTTAAACAGATCCAAGTAACTTCAGAGAACACTAGGAATAGCACAATGTTTAATATAGTTAAATATCGATTCAGATAAACATTTTATATTTATTTTTTTAACCTTATCACTCCATGCAAGGCAATAAAGCCACTAAGACACGGGGGGGTGGATAGTGAGTGTGAAAGAATAAGAAAAAAGAGGGACATTATGAAGGAGCAAGAACAACAGAAGAATAATCAAGAAAACAGCAGATAATGATTGTCTTCTAATTTTTGAAGATCAAAGGTAGTTGGAAAGCCAGAAATCGCAAGAAATTTCCACAAGCAAGAAGTGCGAGAGGCGAAACACTTAGCATAGAATTTACGGTTATATCTAGACAATTCAGCTGTGAATTGATGAGACCTCACCACCAATCTAATACTGCGCTTAAATTCATAAAGCATATAGGCACCAGAGCAAAGAGTTCATCCGATATATATATATATATAATATTTGTGTGTCCAGGCAGCAAATTCTCTTTTAGATGTGTTTGATTTTTGTTCAAAATTAGCAGACATAATATCTGCAATTTATTTAATCATACACACACATATATATATATATATATATATATAAGAGAAATTATTAGGAGTATTTGATAATTATATTTAAGTAATTCATCATGTCTGAAACCTCAACAGAATGCAGAAAGTACTGGACGGCCGTTTCGTCCTATATTTGGGACTCATCAGCAGTGCGCATTCACTACCGAGAATTGAAACCCTGACAGTTGGGTTGTCAAGCAAACATCATACCAACTGTTCCACTGGGCCTCGGTGACGAACAGATTCCAAATCAGACTCAACTTAGCGCCGATCGCTCACATATTCCGTGGTGGAACTCTGCGGAGTTTCTCTCTAACCATAGGACTGTGCCCCTCCCCCTGGAGCCACAACTAATATCACCAATGCGCACTGCTGATGAGTCCCAAATATAGGACGAGACAGCCCTCTAGTGCTTTCTACATTCTGTTGAGGTTTCTTTCAAACTCGATGAATTACTTAAATATAATTATCAAATTCTCCTAATAATTTCTATCGTGTGAATATCATTGCTTGAACCAGCTTTTAATGCTGGTGAGTGTAGTCGTGGCTCCAGGGGGCACAGTCCTATGGTTAGAGAGAACTCAGTAGATTTCCAGCACGGAATATGTGAGCGAGCGGCGCTACATTGAGTCTGATTTGCAATCTTTTCGTCAGTTGGTATGATGTTTGCATGACAACCTAACTGTCCGGGTTTCAATTCTCGGTAGTGGATGCGCACTGCTAATGAGTCCCAAATATAGGACGAAACGGCCGTTCAGTGCTTTCCCCATTCTTTTGAGGTTTCAGACTCGATGAATTACTGATAGATAGATAGATAGATAGATAGATAGATAATATACGAAATAAAGATACCCAGCTATTTATCCTCACTATAAGTAACAAAATTGTCGACTAAGTTGTCCAGAGGACATTCAGGGGACAAATGATGAAACATCTTCTCAAAAAGTTCGCACGCTCACTTTCAGCTTAAAATGTTGTAAACGATGTATTATATCTTGGTAACTATAGTTTTGATCATTTCACCTCAATCAAGGCAAAAAAGCCACTAAGAAGCAAGTGGTTATTGAGTGTGAAAGCATATAAGAGAAACAAAAACACCACCAAGGAGAGCGAACAGTAAAAAAGCAGGTATTAAGAAGACAAATGATAACGTTTGACTTTGAATTTAAATCAGTAGTTCTTAACTGATTTTGGGTCATGCCCTACTTTGGTATTTCTAAAATTCTGGTGACCCCCTCCTTGTAATATTTAATTCTTACATGTATGCTAATTACACATGTACATACATAAACACAAAATATATTTTTATACTGTGTAACCCGGATATAAGAGAGTTGTCGGGACCGGAGAAGAAGTCTCTTATATCCGGGTTTCTCTTATATCCAGGTTTGGTCTATTGTGTTTAGGTAAGTATGGGAACACTTTGGGACCAGAGAAAATCTCTCTTATATCCGGGTTTCTCTTATATCCGGGTCTCTTATATCCGGGTTACACTGTATATGTATACTGTATATGCATCGTATATATTAACACTCTCACTCAGACTCACTAGAAAACAATTCACTCTTCGAATTCTAGAATCTTCCTCCTCTTATTCTGTTGGTATAGTCAGCCGAAGGGTACACATCCTATGTACGGTCTACCAAAATATTACAATGCCCCACCGATGGAGCATGTACCCCACGTTGGGAATTATTTAAATTTTTGAAGATGAATGTTGACTGAAAAACAAGAAGTGAAAAAAAACTGTTAGCATAGAACTTATAACTTAAGGACTATCAACAGCAGCAACAACTAAAATAGATAGCACACGTAACTCGATGAAAAAATAATGGCATAATCAAGATGTTTATATTCCATGTCATTTCAAATACAATGTCTGGCTGTAAACCCCACATCGATACACTGAAAGAGTATTAAAATGTTATTGGACCTGAGAAAGATGTTTCCAAAAAAAAAAAAAAAAACGTTTTAACAGAAATGATTTATAAATCTCGACTGAAATCAGTACTGACTGCTCAGTCAATGAATACCCACTCTTTCTTTATAAGGGAAACAGCTAAATATACCATTAACGTCGTCGCTAAACAAATACTGTACAGTTTAGTCCAAGTCTAGGGATCAAAGAAGGCTCATCAGGACAATTACCTTGAAAATATTTATATAATAAAATAAAGAGAAGCTGCATTACATCGGTGAAAAAAGTCGAGATGCCAGGTTCAGACCAATAATATTGCAGATTATTTGTATTTTATCAAGAATCTGTAAATACATACCAAAGGCAGGAAACCAGATGAGAACTTTCTCATCTGGTCTGATAAAACGATTGGTGATTTAATATTAGACGAATGATGGTTTTCTAAGCGGAGATTATATGTGGCACAAGGCCGAATGTGGGGAGCACCCGAAGAGGATAGAACTCACTGTTCAATCGTAGTTGATGTAGACCATTTTGCTAAGCATTACATCACTTTGGGGTACCGAAATGCGTAGCTTAGAAGTGGCACAACGCCGAAAGTGTGGAGCACTCAGTGAGGATCGAACTCATTACTCAAGTTCTCCACTGCCTTAACTGGGGGTCCTGTCACTGGATCTAACTAACGCCTTTATCCACTGTGCCACATACCCTCAAGGCAGTGGAGAACTTTCAGAGGGGAATTAACAGGAGATAACTGATAAATGACATCCATTAGACATGGCACGTGGAACTAGAACAGTCTACACCATTGAGCGAAATAAAGGATTCAGTTCGACATTCCAACCAACTGAAGAAGGCCGGAGCGTACAACGGTCGAAACGCTGTAATAAATATGGCGACAAAGATGAGGGCAATAGTCCGAATAATGTAAATAGTGTACATATTACCTCATCTCAGAAATATAGACAGATTCAGAAAATTTTATTACCAGTTACCATATTATATATATATATATATATATATATATATATATATATATATATATATATATATATATATATATATATATATATATATATATATATATATATATATATATATATATATATATATATAAAAGAAATTTCTAAAGAAGTAACAGATTTGTATTTCTAAATCCAGAAATCTTCGTGTATTTATTGGATAGTATATTTAGTTATTTTCGTCTACAAGGCTGAATATCCGAGAAATCTTATGAAAAAAAAAAACATAGATAGATAGATAGAAGATGAACAGACTGAGATAGATAGATAGATAGATAGAACAGAGATGATAGATAGATAGATTAAATATGAACAGACTGAGATAGATGATAGATAGATAGATAGATAGATAGATAGATAGATAGATAGATATGAACAGACTGAGATAGATAGATAGATAGATAGATAGATAGATAGATAGATAGATAGATTAAATATGAACAGACTGAGATAGATAGATAGATAGATAGATAGATAGATAGATAGATAGATAGATAGATAGATGTAATATTTCTTAATAGCTTACCGTTTAACCGAAATATCTGATCTTGAGAATCACAAGCTATAAGACTCGGGAAGCAGAAAGGTGATGAGGAATTTAGAGACAAGACATGAACGTGGTGGATGGAGTCAGAAATCAAACCAACCGTAGTAGAAAGAGAAGCGGAAAACTATAGAGAATGCGAAAGAGAGAGAGAGAGAGAGAAAGAGAGAGAGAGAAATAATGAGAGAGAGTAAGAGAGATAAAAAGTGAGGTAGTAAGAGCGTGAGAGAATGAGAGAGAGAGAGAGAGAAAGAAAGAGAAATCATCTGCGTTTTATTGCGTCTCATAAACAAGCTGCAGACATGAAAATGGCGGCAAGTTGTCAATTTAAATCAACACGATGCTAAACGCCTTGAACGTTTTATTTCTTAAAAACAAACTAAAAATTACCATCACTAAATCAACAACACAACAACAACAGCAACAACAGCCACAATAATAATAATAATAATAATAATAATAATAGTCAAGAAAATGTACTATAAAAACCGTACTAATATTATGACGAAGGAAATATTCCCAAACTTCATAAACAATTAAAAAATAACCTCAATATTCTAAACAAATACTATCAAAATTAAACATAATAGCAACAACGAGGTACAATAAGATCAAAAACAACCACCACAACAACAGCAACAACAACAACAACAACAACAACAACAATAATAATAATAATAATAATGAGAGAAAACAATACGACTAACGGAAAATACATAGTAGCAGTAAGACTAATAACAGCAAAAGCAATATAATTCAGAATTTTACATAAAAGTATTAACAATAGTAGTCGTTGTAGTAGTCGGAGTGGTAGTAGTAGAAAATATATTAGGATAATTCCAACAGAAAACTAATAATAATAATAATAATAATAATACTGGAGCCCTCGGATTGGTTGGAAAAGGTCCCAATAGACCCACTGAAGGGATTCCTGGTAGCCCATGCCTATAAGAAATACAAAATATATGCTCACGAGTAGAGCCCATACCTTACGAAGGGCTTTATCCATATAAAATATATCTGAATTTTTTCTCAAAATTGCTCCGTGGTAAATGTCATGGTGCCAATTCTGACTTTAGGTCTCTAGTCGGGACCCGGAAAGAAATGAGTACACAACAGAAATTAAAGGAAATTAAAAAAAAAAAAAATAATAATTGTTTTCATTTTGGGTGTTCATGTATTCTTCCACTAGTTTTTTTTTTTTTTTTTATCATCGGTAATTTATGTTTCATTTCTTAGCAATGTAATTGTCTTCTTTTCTAATGCTCTCTAAGTGTACTCTTTTTTTTTCTTTCTTTCTTTCTTTTGTCTTTCTTATTGAAATACTTTTCTTGTGTTCTTCTTCTCCTCTTTCTCACCCTCCTCCTTCTTCTCTGAGTTCTTCAAGTCTTATTCAAGTTTGTCTATTTTTTTTAAAATAATTCTCAGATGTTCTTTTATCTCCTTCTTCTTCTTCTTCTTCTTCCTCACTTTTTCTTTGTATTGAATCTTGTTCTTTTCCTTCTTCTCTGCGTTCTTGAAGCCTTATTCAACTTTTTCTTTGTTTATTTCTAAAATACTTTTCGTCTGTTCGTTTTTCTTATTTTCTACATATCTGAAAATTTTTCTTTCAGTCTCTCTTTCTTTTCAAAATCATCATTTTTTTTTTGTTTTGTCATTTATTTTTCTTTCTTTTTCTCCTTCCTTCCGATTTTTCTTTTTTTTTTTTACTTTCTTTCCATTTTCTAAAAATGTTTCCTTCTCTCTTTCTTTTTCATTTCATAACTCCTCTAATTCTTACTCTTTTTTTTTTACCGTTCAGTCTTTTCGTCTCCTTCATTTCATCATCTTTTCTTTTGTCCAGCATTTTCGCACTCTCTCATCCTCTTTTTTTTCTCTTCTTTATTTTCCCAGCCATCAACGTTCTTTCCCGCTCAATCACATTGACTGATCTTCTCTTTTCCTGAACTGCCTCTTCCCCCGTTTCTAACTCCAAATTAGAAGCTACAGCAAATAACAACATCCATCCATATACAAAAGTCAGTTGAAATCCAAATAGAATTTTTTAAAGTATTAAATGTGAATAAACTTATTCTTTTTTCTTCAATAATTTTTCTCTTCATTTTTTTCTTTGCCTCTGGTAAACAGCCGCTTATTTTGCCAAGTGTTTACATTTTTTTTCGAATTTAATTTCATATTCTTGTTCTTTTCGCTATTATATTTTCTGACCAATCATCAAGCAAAGGTTCCCAGGCGCCAATTGAGACGTTGCTAAAACGATAACCGCAAGGACAGCAATGAAAATAACCTTTTGATTACAAACTGTAAAACACAAGAAATGGCCGGCCATGTTCTTTACAATCGTCTAAGCATTTCCCAGTCTTTATGTTGTTTTTGCAAAAATTCTTTGAGTTCTCGGATTGAAAAATAAATCCAACAAAAACATTTCTTTAATTTTTATCTTTAATATAATAAAAAAAGGCAATATTTCGCCAATCCTAATATCACAGATATTATTTATTAAATTTAAGAAGAAAAAAATTAATTGAAAAATTTCTCGAATTCTTGATGATAAATCTTGCTCATTTCCCCATGTATTTCATTATTTGCTGATATTTTTTAATGTTTTCATAAACATTGAATACAGTTATTTAAAAATAATGAGTTTAAATTCTTAACATCGGATTCTCTCAACGGAAGATTTCCAAGCCTATGGCATTACAGACTGTGGCATTACAAAAATGAAACTTTTTTATATATATATATCTGTTAGGATAGGGCACCTCGAGGTGGTGTAATGGCTAACAAGCTTGTCTCGCTAGAACAATTACGAATGAGTAGTGAGTTCCATCCTCACTTGGTACCCCCTACTTTCGGCCTTGTGCCACATCTAAGCTACGCTTGGAAAATCGCTATATCTGTTAGGATATTCGCAAAGTAATTACGAGTTTCGAATGTAAAGTTCATAGGCTAACTAATATAAACTCATAGAATGGTAGTAAATGCGGTTTATTTTTCAACATAGTTCTACTTGCGGTCCAAACACTTCTACTGGAATTACAGTTCTTGGATCCCATTGGTTGATAAACCTTCATGCTGTTCTTCAAAAACTTCATGAAAAAGTAGATATGATTTCGATACTCCTTGCCAGTTTTTTATAATTTTAGTGAAAACACGATAGACAAATGGGTCCTAATCGGGAGAACAGGAAGTGAGATTGTTGAAACTTGACTAATGCATAGAATAATAATGCAACACAAAAAGGACTTAGAATAAAATTGTATTGAAACAAGAAAGTGTACACAATATTTACATATAGTCTTTTGTATATTCCTGGTAAGACCGTTCCTGGAAAATGTGTTAACTGAGTCGCAGTCGGGCAGAGTCTCTGGATTGAATCTCTTGATTCCTCTCCTCTCTTCCCGGTACCAACTATATTTATATGGTCGGTACCCCACTATGCAAATTAGGTGGATCCTACCACAACAGAGATCAACCAGTTCAAAGCCACATTCATGCATAACAGCTATTGAAGCGAGGGTCATGTGTGCTGGAGAATTATCCTCATCAGACAATACCAACTACGTCTGGTTTCCTATGTGTTTGGCTTTGGTAGTCTTTCATATTTGCTTCAGTGATCACTTCAGCAACGTACTCGCCATTGATGGTGTGGCCGTTTTGAAGAGAGTCAATAAGCACAAAGCCTTTTGCATCCCAAAAACCTCAGACAATAACATCTGAAGATAAAACGACCTTGGCGTCATTTGGGGCAGACGAGGAGGTATGTTTCGACTGCATGGATTGTCTTTGTCTCTGGCTCACATACTCATTTTGGGTTAAGAAACATTCAAGATAACCAGCTGGATCTTCCTCAAACAATGTCAGATTGTTCCATGATGTGATGAGTCCGGTGTGCATTTGATCTGGTGTCAGCAAAAGTGGCATGCTATTTTCACTGTGCAGAATATTCTTAACTCTCTCACGGGATATGCTATTAGCATTGGCTATTTGATTTGTAGTCAATCGCCTGTCATACATCACCATGTGGAAAATCGATCAATGTGTTCTTCAGTGGTGGCGGTTGAAGAACGACCAGACCATGGGCCACATATAAGACCCCCCCCCCCGCTTTGAAATTCAGCTGCTCATTTTTGCGCTGTTGTTAAAACTGGGGCGTCATCTTCTGATGTAGCAACCATGTAACCATGTCTTTGGTGGCTCAACCCTTTTCTGCAGGCAATTTTTGTCCGTTTTCAAGAGAAGTCTTTACTAGTTACATTCGATGTTTTCTTTGAACAGTCAGATATCAGTTTATTTGAAATGAATTTAGCTTCATTCCTTCATAGTCAACCAAAACTATTCAGCCCTCCATCGTACCTGGAAAGAAACAATGCAGTCATTGTTCAGAAGATTGACAATCAATTGCATGTCTTCACTGTACCTTCATAAATATCCTATGATCTTTTTCAGCCCTCCATCGTACATAGAAAAAACAATGCAGTCATTGTTCAGAAGATTGACAATCAATGCTTGCATGTCTTCACTGCCGGATCATCATACCTTCATAAATATCCTATGATCTTTTCAGCCCTCCATCGTACATAGAAAGAAACAATGCAGTCATTGTTCAGAAGATTGACAATCAATGCTTGCATGTCTTCACTGCCGGATCATCATACCTTCATAAATATCCTATGATCTTTTTCAGCCCTCCATCCTACATAGAAAAGAAACAATGCAGTCATTGTTCAGAAGATTGACAATCAATGCTTGCATGTCTTCACTGCCGGATCATCATACCTTCATAAATATCCTATGATCTTTTCAGCCCTCCATCCTACATAGAAAGAAACAATGCAGTCATTGTTCAGAAGATTGACAATCAATGCTTGCATGTCTTCACTGCCGGATCATCATACCTTCATAAATATCCTATGAATACATAGAAAGAAACAATGCAGTCATTGTTCAGAAGATTGACAATCAATGCTTGCATGTCTTCACTGCCGGATCATCATACCTTCATAAATATCCTATGATCTTTTCAGCCCTCCATCCTACATAGAAAGAAACAATGCAGTCATTGTTCAGAAGATTGACAATCAATGCTTGCATGTCTTCACTGCCGGATCATCATACCTTCATAAATATCCTATGATCTTTTCAGCCCTCCATCGTACATAGAAAGAAACAATGCAGTCATTGTTCAGAAGATTGAAAATCAATGATTGCATGTCTTCACAGCTGAATCATCATTCCTGCATAGATATCCTATGATCTTTTCAGTCCATCATCATACATGGAAAGACACAATACCTTTATTAATAAGATGGTTTGAAATTAATTCATGCAAGATTTTTTCAGCTCTAGCATCAGTAATTGATAGTCAGCCTATGAAATCTTCAGCCTACCGTTGTACCTGTAAAGAAAAATGCATTTATTAATAAGAAGTGTGAAAATGAATGCAGTCATAATTACACAGCACTAGCATCAATCGTTCATATTCAGCTTATGAACTTTTCAGCCGACCATCTTACCAGTAAAGAAACAATGCAGTTATTATTAAGAAGAGTTGAAAATACTTCATCTAAGATTTCACAGATCTCGCATCAACCATTCATCGTCAGCCGACCAACATTTCTGTCTAGCTTCATTCGTTCATATTCAGCCTATAAACCTTTTAGCAAGACCTCGTACATGGAAAGAACAAATGCAGTTGTTAATTAGAAGACTTGAAATTAACGCGTTGAGATTTCACAGATTTGGCATCAACCCTTCATCGTCAGCCGACCAACATTTCTATCCACCGTCGTACGCATTTCACAGATATGATTATGGATTACGGGTTATAAGTCAACCAACCAAAGTCCCAAAAAGTTAAATGTTTGGAAACTCTGTACAGAATTAGTTTATTATCTCTCATGTTAATATGTTCGGAAAGTAATTACGTATTCGAGCGTTATGAATTATGAATCACCCAGCCAAGGTAGAAACTTTGTTGTAGGTTAAGAAACTGCATCCAGAATTTGTCATATCTTCTATCAGACATTATGTCCTTTATAATAAATTTCAGATTTGAATTGGCTCAATTTACTAAACAGGAAATTTAGGTTTCTCATCATCTTTCGATTGAGAAACGCATACAATAATTTGTTGCATCCAGTGATACCAAACTCACAGTTCTGCATGGAATTCTAATGGTTTTGCATATCAACAGAAAACGAAAAGGACTGTGCTTATCGCAGAGAGACAGACATCAATGTTAACACCGCAACCAGGGCTTAATCATAGAAGTCCTTTGTTCTGCTTCAGGTGAAATATGAAAGGTGTCGTCCATTATGAGCAATCGGAACATGTAAGGACCAACATTGCAGGTGTTTATTGACAGTGATTTTGGTCAAGTAAACAAAGTTTTTTATTATTTTTTTTTATCGAAAATGTCTTGCTTTGGTAAACAGAAAAGTGTTCTACTCCTTCATAAAAAGTGAAAGGCACAAGTTGTGAAAGAAAGTCAAAAAAAAAAAAAAAAAAAAAAAAAGATTGTTAAAATAACAGGTTCTTCCATTCTCACCGGATTTAGTACCTGGAGATTTTCACTTGTATTCAACTCGTGAAGATTTCATAAATGGATGAATTTTGAGAAGGAAAAAATAAAATAAAGCCTAAGACAATTTTTCAAAATTTTCGGAAAAACATTTCTTTATAAATTCATTAAAATTTCTAATAAATAACACTAAAATAAATTTAAATTGCATTATTTTTTTTATTTCATAACTGATTAAACATAATTATTTTCCCAGCACTCTCGTATCAATCTCATCGTCTTCGGATTTCAGTTGCGTTCCAAGTCTCTTGGTACAATTAACGCTAGCAAAACCTATTCATTTTTACATAGTCTATATTTTTTTTAGAAACGGTGTTTCATTTGCTGTTGTCAGTGACGTCCCAGCTATGAGCGGATGTAGATTTTGATCCGGAAGAGTAGTCTGTCAATGTACACATAAAAAATCATTTATCACCTCCCAAATAGTGGGAAAGTGTACGTTTAATCAAAGAGTTAATGAATTAGGAATGATACAGTCCCCTGGGATATTTGCTAACCCCAAGCAGTCAATTGCTATCGTTTGAATTTAAAACATTTTAAGAATTCGTATAAAGAATAATAAATGTGGTTAATCCTACATTGTTTCTGTTTCCTATCTACAAATATTCGTTCATAATGTAAAAAAGAAGGCCCTATTTTAATAATAGGAGTGCAGAAACGTGCAAAAATACCCCGCATACATAGGGTCTGGTTGGTCTACCTCCCCCGGACGAGACTTTCTCGAAGACATAGCCGCGTCTGTGTTCTTCGCTGCCAGAAGGCTAAGAGTTCAACATGCGATTGTACAGCACGTAATTGTAGCCTCCCAGTAACTGGCATGTTATTTCTATAAGAAATGGCGGTCTACATTTTCATTGTATAGAGATTCACATTCAAACCCTGGTGTCGGCAGTGACAAGTTTCATTCATAGATAGATAGATAGATTAACAACAATTTTAGGACGGGTCTAGTCATTAAAATTCCGTGGTTGACTTGGTAAATGAATGGTCCATGTAAAAATATCTACATCTGATGGCAAATTTGGGACCTATCGAGCCATTAGGCTTACTTGACTGAATTTTTAAATGCATTGTCCATGGATAAAAATGTCCATCTTATGGCAACAGAATTTGTGTCTTATCTAATCATTAAGCACCCTTGGATGAGTTTGTAAATGCATCAGCCATGGACAAGTAGCTCCATTTTATGACAATAAATTTGGGTACTTTCTGGTCATAAAGTTTCAGTGGCTGAATTGGTAAATGCACCGTCCCTGTACAATATATCAGTGTTATTGACGACAAATTTAGGTCATATCTAGTCATTTAGTTTTCAAAGGCTGAATTGGTAAATTCATTGTCCACGAAAATAGTATCTTGAATTTACAGACCTGGGCCCTATCTTGTCATAAAACTTCATTGACTGAATTGCTAAATGCATCGTCTATGTAAATGTATCCCCATCTTATTATGACAAATCCTATCCATTCATTAAAAACTTCCTTGTTTGAATTGGCAAATGCATCGTCCATGTCAAAGTATATCCAGGAAAATGAAATACGATTGAAACTTCCCATTGGAATAGGAATGGTAAAAGGCACAACAGAGACTGATTCGAGAAGCAAATACAAAAAAGATTATTTTAACTTTAATTATTTAAGAAAAGAAAATCAACTTCTCAAATGACGCTTGAAAGGAAAATTGTGGGGAAAATTGTGAAAATGGCTTACCTCGGAAACGCGTTCGAATCTGCGCAGTATGCAAACTCTGGTCCTTCCAACGGTAAAAGAAAAACCAAAATGGCAGCGCCCACGTTTTATGCCGGGCGGTCTCGATTAGTTAACGCGAAATCTCGTTGTCTCATCATTCGCATGCAAATCGTGGTCGGTCCGCGGCTGTATAAAGCAGGCTCGTTTTTGCTGTTTGAGACGAGAGAGCTTTCAGCTCGTGAGAAGGTTGGACGTGCGACTCCGGGTTTCTTTGTGCCTACCTGCTATCATCAGTTGAATTGTTGCGTTACACACCACAAGGAGTAAAAGGTAAATAATCGAAATAAAAAGAAAAAAATAGTCGAAACCAATTCATCGCGGCTGAGGAGAGCTAAGAAAATTTATTAGTACCTTGTTGTCAATAAATAAACCATGAATAAATTGATATTGACAGAGAGGTATTAATTAATGGAAAAGACAGACAGACAGACAGATAGATAGATAGATAGATAGATATGAACTGATAATAGATAGATACATACATACATATGAACTGATAATAGATAGATAGATAGATAGATAGATAGATATGAACTGATAATAGATAGATACATACATACATATGAACTGATAATAGATAGATAGATAGATAGATAGATAGATATGAACTGATAATAGATAGATACATACATACATAGATGATAATAGATAGATAGATAGATAGATATGAACTGATAATAGATAGATACATACATACATATGAACTGAGAATAGATAGATAGATAGATAGATAGATAGATAGATAGATAGATATGAACTGATAATAGATAGATACATACATACATATGAACTGATAATAGATAGATAGATAGATAGATAGATATGAACTGATAATAGATAGATACATACATACATATGAACTGAGAATAGGTAGATAGATAGATAAATAGATAGATAGATAGATATGAACTGATAATAGATAGATACATACATACATATGAACTGAGAATGGGTAGATAGATAGATAGATAGATAGATATGAACTGATAATAGATAGATAGATAGATAGATAGATAGATAGATAGATAGATATGAACTGATAATAGATAGATAGATAGATAGAGATAGATAGATAGATATGAACTGATAATAGATGAATACATACATACATATGAACTGAGAATAGATAGATGGATAGATAGATAGATGGATGAGATAGATAGATACATACATACATATGAACTGATAATAGATAGATAGATAGATAGATAGATAGAGAATAGATAGATATGAACTGATAATAGATAGATAGATAGATAGATATGAACTGATAATAGATAGATACATACATACATATGAACTGAGAATAGGTAGATAGATAGATGAGAACAAATTTAGATAGATAACTATATCAACAAATTGACACATGAGAAGAATATGATATAGATAATACAAAACATATATCGATGTTTATATAGATAGATATAACATAGAAAGAGAATTATATATATATATGTAAGCAAATATATGGATATAGATCCGACAGTATGAAGAAAAATATACAGAAAAACAAACAAAAATCTTAATATGCAATTATGCTGTATTAATGTTAATATAAAGTCGACGTCGGACGTTAACATTAATACAGCAAAATTGCATATTATGATTTTTTTGTTTGTATATTTTTTTATATATATATATATATATATATATATATATATATATATATATATATATATATATATATATATATATAGTTACGAATATATATATATATATATATATATATAGATATATAGATAGATAGATGTAGATTGATATTAAATTAGATTATATATATATATATATATATATATATATATATATATATATATATATATGAAGAAAGTAGGAATTTTAAAAGTGGATAGATAGTGATAAAATCATATAAATACTGTATTCGCAATGATTAATTGTTTTTTTACAATCGTAACATTCATTTCAATTAGATAGAGATGATAGATAGCATCATATAAATATGTCAGAATATATATATATATATATATATGTGTTTGTGTGTGTGTGTATGTATGTATGTATACATACACACAGCGAAAAGGGAGAATCATATAAAGATATTTGATTCTTGATTTTTCCAATCTGAATTTTTCTTTTTCCCGAAATTGATAACATTTTTATCACATGTTTAATATGATTTCACGTGATAGATCATGGAAAAATACGTTTAAAATCTTTGGAACATATAAATAATAGAATCAGAATAACTCCACCTAAAGAGGAAAATGACATAAAATTGCAACGTGATGTTAAAAAAAATAACAAGCAGGCAAAAAAAAAGTATATATATATTTTGTAATTTTTATAAATGGCTTGGTGTGAGCTGAACGCACAAAATACGACATGGTAAAAAAAAAAAAAAAAATACCTTAAGTAAAATAAAAAAAAACAGAATAGAACGGGAAAAGGATAAAACCGGAAGTATAATATTTGCTTATCGGATATGGGTTTGCCTATGTTTCTTTAAATTTACTTGGATTCCTGTTTTATTTTTCGTGCTTTTTCCAGCAAGAGATTTACTTCATAAAAACCTGTTTGGAAAATTTGACGTGAGCTCTTTATTTGTAATCTTTTAGAAAATCTTATTCTATTCAAATGTATTTTAATCCCAGCACTCACACTTTCGCAATCAATATCTTTCAATCACTCTCCATTGGTATGTGCCTTGCGTGATACACACTTAGTTTCGATACACAACTGACGAGGCAGATTTTTTCTGCAGTAGGTTGCCATTTATATCTGCGGTAGAAATGCTATAGAACCCGGTCTGTCCTGCTATTTAGTCATAGCTAGGGGGGGGAGAGAAAGGTTTTATGCCATTCCGTAAGTGGATGTAATGGATTCGACTGGAATTCGAACTCTGCTCTCCAGTTCCTCAATCCGTGCCCCCTCCTATAAATATCAGTCAGTTATATGCCATGCGTGATACATGTTTATGCGATCATGTATCTTTCGATATATGACTCACGGGGTAGATTTTTCCCGCAGTAGGTTGCTATTTCTTTCTGTGGTAGACCAGCTGACATCCAAGGTTATATATCCCTGTCTGTCCTGCTCTTTACCCATAGCTGGGAGGAGAAGAAGAGGATTCATACCTTTCTCAAGACTATTAGCACGTAAATGAACGTAATGGATCCTACTGTAATTCGAACTCGGCTCTCCGATTCCTCAATACGAGTCGCCACCGGAGTCAGTCAGTTATGCCATGCGTGATACACGCGTCGGCAATCATGTATCTTTTGACACATGACTGACGAGGCAGATTTTTTCCCGCAGTAGGTTGCCATTTCTTTCTGTAGTAGACCTGTTGCCATCCAAGGCTATAGAACCCGGTCTGTCCTGCTATTTACACATAGCTGGAGGGACTAGAAGAGGATTCATACCTTTCCAAAGTGAATTTCAGTCAGTTATGTGCCATGCGTGATACACGCTTAGGCACATAACTGGGCAAAAATTCTGCCTCCTCAGTCATAAATCGAAAGATACATATCTTTCGATATATGACTGAGGAGGCAGAATTTTTTTCTCTGCAGTAGGTTGCCATTTCTTTCTGAGGTAGACCAGTTGCCATCCAAGGCTATAGAACCCAGCCTGTCCTGTTATTTTCCCTATAAATATAGCAAATGTTAAACGATATAAAAAAAAACACTTCTAGTCTAATTAAAAACAAAAAGATAGCAAGACGAAAATGAATAGAAAGTGCTTTAATCTCCATATCACCCCCAATAAATTTACATTTCATATTTCCTGGCAGATCTTTTAATTGTAATGTGGGATATTTGATAACAAAAATGATGTAAACTGAAACAGAAAAAAAAGGAAAATGAATGAAATCCTCAAGACTATATATACAAAAAATGTTAAAATATAATTTAAATTTAAAATGATCAGCGTCCTAGCACCTTCTTGCGCATGCGTAGCTGCATCATCTTAACCCATTACCTACCATGAGTCCCATTTGGGGATCTGTTAAAATTAAACTCACTACATGTTATTCCTTGTATTTACATTGAATTGCTTACATACATTGCATTTGCAGAGGTATATTTTACAACACTGTTATAGTGGAACACACCTTTTCTATAGTTAATAGACTCTCCCACCTATAATAAGTAAGAGTAGTAAGAGTAACGGGTGAGTCGCTCAGTCAGTGGGTTAGTCAGTCGATGTCGAACGACAGTTAGTCGAATACTAAAGTATGAGCGACCACAATTAGATTACTCTGTTATACCTATTATATCAAGTTCCTAACGTTTTGTACGTCGAACCTATTTTAGGACCGACTTAGTAAAAATATAAGCCTCCACTGTGAAATCACTCCATAACAAACACTTAGCCTTTAAAGTTTTTTTTTAATTATTTTTAGCCGTAAGAAGACACTTTCTGTCGTAATTTTACATTTCAGGAGTAGAAAAATAATGAGTATTTTGAAAAGTATTTTTTTTTATTATTTCTAATAAATATTATTTTTTTCATGTTTATGTACATATATTTGATGTTCTAGTTTCTAGAAAAATGAAAATGGTAACTACTGAAATTAAACATAAGGAATAAATAAACTTCTAAGACACCTGTCTTGGCCAAAAATGCGCCTTAAAAAAATGGCAGTTAATGGGTTATCAATTTAAGTCTTTGAAATCACAACGAACGAAATGCGACACACGAAGAATTTTTCTATCTTGTTCTAGCTTTTTCATCTAGAATGCTTCTTCATATATTGTTATTTTTTTTTTTCACCAATGTTCAGCCAATACAAGGGCAAAGAGCTATTCACGGTAGACAGTTACTATATGGAGTCGTGTTAGGGCAAGAAAGGACAGATGTTAAGTGTATAGAGTTGAAGTAGAAGTTTGAAGGAACCGGAATCAAAATCCTAAAGAAGGACCAAGAAAAAAACCTCTACTACAGTTCGAAAGAATGGGGAGGATTATGTATCAGGTAATAGGCGAACCCTCTATTCTATATATATATATATATATATATATATATATATATATATATATATATATATATATATATATATTTAACTATTTTAACTGAGCTCTCTGGATTACATCCTGCTGGGAATTATCCATACGGATTACTAAACAACTTCATTAAATAACTCTTTCACTCTCTCTCTCTCTCTCTCTCTCTCTCTCTATATATATATATATATATATATATATATATATATAGATAGATAGATAGATAGATAGATAGATCAATCAATATATTTGGGCCGCAATACTTCATTGAAACGTCTTTCTTTAAATGTGGCAAACAAGGAAGATTTATGTAAAGTTTTATAAAGTTTTCCCAATATCTTTACACTTTTCCGTTTGGGAATAATAATAGTAATAATAATAATAATAATAATAATAATAATAATGATACATTCAAACATATATATATATATATATATATATATATATATATATATATATATATATATGTATGTATGAATGTATTATATATATATATATATATATATATAGATAGATAGATAATATTAGTGGTAAATATACACATACATATGCAAAATATATAAATATATATACATATATGCATACACATACATATATATTTTGTATAAGAAAATAATTCCAAGAGGATAGAATCCAGGTAGTACTCAATGCCCAGGACACAGTAAGGATATAATAAAAAGGCTTAAACACTATTATTCCATGGTTTAATTTATTCCATTGGCATCGTAAATACGATCCAATTCATCAGACCTACAAATTCAAAAAGAAAACAGAAAAAACAAAAAGGTGGGAGATTAAAAGTTTTAATCTCCCACCTTCTCTCGTCTGTTACCCCTCTCTTTAGCTCTAACATTCATCTCACACTCTCATACTTACACTCTCTCTAAATTCTATTTTTTATTTCTGGAGTTGTTTTTTTCTGTTTTCTTTGGAATTTGTAGGTCTGATGAATTGGATCGTATTTACGATTCCAATGGAATAAATTATGAGCATGGAATATTAGTGTTGTTTATTATATATATATATATATATATATATATATATATATATATATATATTCAGGTTCATCAAAAATATTTTTGCAAAATTTGGGTCGGTTCCTTACAGTAAAACAAGGACAAAAGTCCATATAAACATATGCCGTAAATCCTACGTTTTTGAATTACAAAGTTTCCAGAAAATCTCGCGTCCATTACCAATCGCCCGCCCGTATGTAAAAATCATATCTGCCTTCTCACGATATGAATACCCTGCCATTGTTAAACTGAACACTTCTCAGTTTACTCTCTACTACACACGTCAAACGTCTAAAGACAGGCTAGC